TAGTGAACTTTAAAAACAATTAGACCATCCTTTTCAGGAAGCAACATAGTATAGAAATGAAGAACATGGACTTTGGGGTCATATACACATGAGTTTAAAGTTCTAATTTTCTATTTACTAACTTTGTAATCTCTAACAAGTGGCTTAACTTCTCTGAGTTGCTGTTTTATTTGTCAAATGGGTATATTAATACCACTAACTTTAGGAAGGTTGTTAAGTTACATAATGATTTAAAGCATTTTGTACACAGTCGGCATTCAAGGAATGGAAGCTCTAATGATTATATGTTGTATGTACAATATATACCAATAGTGAAATACTACTAATATGTATAATTATAGTGATCATCCACTGTCTACTAGCATTAATAGGAAGAATTAACCTTGTGAGGTGCATGTTCTAAAAACTTATTTTTATTATAAAAGTTTTCAAACATACATAAAAACAGAGAGAAAAGCAAAAGGCAATTCCATATACCTGTTGCCCTGAAGTGTAGTATTAACCCAAAGATTTGAAAATGTGCTCTGTAGAAATTTCTTTAAGTGGCTTATTGCTTATTGCTTACAGCTATTGCTTTTTCTTTTTCTTTTCTTTTTTTTAAATAGGGCTTTATTTAAGTCTGTTGCTATTTTATGACCTGAAACTTGGTGTGCTATTTGGAAAATGCAGTTGTTTCACAGAAGTTTAGTTTTTATTCATATGGCTTTTAAATATTTGAAACTGAATTTTCACCAGGATTTTTGTATAAGAGTATACATTAAATGGAGATCTTCAGTAGGACAATGGGACTGTTATAATTATTTGTTCATATGTGTTGAATCAAAAGAATTTCTAGATTATTAAGAAAAATGCCATCATGATCAGATAGTGAGTTAGCTGTATTAGAAATGCATTGGTCCTTTTATTACCATGTAGTCAGATCTAGTACATTGAGACTTTAATTTCTTTCCTTATCTCTTTTTTTCTCTTCTTGATTTAAACTTAAAACTGTTTTTGAAAGTTGTACAAATTATACATTCTTCTTAAAGTTTAAAACAACAAAGAAATACAGAATAATAATAAAAGTATCCATTCCAGGACCTCTATGTGTGTGTTCTTTAGAAACGTCTGTTAAAGCATATATATATATATTTTAAAGAATTTTAAGGGAGTTTATTGCCAGAAAGTGCCAGCGTCTGAAAAGAGAACCATAAATGCTCCTAAGCAAAGGTAATCACCATCCCTTCAAAATATGCCAACAGGAAGAGAGGTGCCAAAGCAATGTAGCTCCAGAAAGGGGTCTTTCTCCTGCTTCCTTGAGGTGTGGCAGGAAGGTCCTCAAAATCAGGCTGTCCCCTAAGGACTTCATTCTAATACAGAGCAGGAAGTCACTTCACCTCTCCATGGCCCTTCTCCTTCTCTGTCTTTCAAATGGAAGGTCTTTTGGTGATAATGATATTGTTTATCCTTTCCTGTGTATTGTGAGCTTGTTGGGATGATCACATCCATCATTTCGCTGGACCATTTATCATTTGCTGGACTGTGAGGAGCCACATTTGAAACCCACCAAGAGGAATTCACAGCCCATGGAGATCTTAAACTCAGAGCACAATTCAGAAACTGGACATGATTTTGGTGTCTTTCTTTGAGAAGAGGATGATACATTTTCAGTTGGGCATAGGTATTTGAATGAGGTTAGATGTGCCATTTTTGGAATTAGATATATGGAAAAAAGAAAGTGTGTGGATGTGGGCACTGAAGAAGATGGTTAATAATGAATAATACATTTTTCACGTTATACTATGTCTGGATTGGTTTCATGATACTTAATTTCCCAGTATAAATTTTCTTTTATTTATTTATTTATGGCTGTGTTGGGTCTTAGTTGTGGCACACGGGATCTTTCGTTGTGACACATGGGGTCTTTCATTGCAGCACACAGGCTCCTCTCTAGTTGTGGTGCGTGGGCTTCTCTCCAGTTGTGGAATGTGGGCTTCTCTCTAGTTATAGTGTGCAGGCTCTCTAGTTGTAGTGTGCAGGCACCAGAGCACATGGGCCCTGTAGTAGCAGCACGTGGGCTCTCTAGTTGTGGCATGCAGACTCAGTAGTTGCGGCACTCAGTCTTAGTTCCCCGACCAGGGACTGAACCTGTGTCCCCTGTATTGGATGGCAGATTCTGAACCACTGGACCACCAGGGAAGTCCCTGAATTTTCTTTTTAAAGAAGTACCACCTAAGTATGTAAAAGGTGTCATTGGTAGTAGGTCAGTAGAGAGAAAACAAAACTCTGGGGCTGATTTCTTGATTTGATATACCATTGCACAACTTGAGGAAATTTTCAGTGCCTCAGATAAAATTATTTGATATCCAATTCCTATCTAAGACATGTCAAACTTATTCATTTTAATAGTTTGCTAAGTGTCCTGTGCTTCTTGGATGAATAGGGATTGTTAAGTTTTTTTTAAGATAACTTTATTTTTTCTCCCATTTAGTTCTCTTGTCTTCAAATAACCTGTGTAAATAGCATTTTTCTGATCATAGAAGTAATTAATTCATTGTAGAAAATCCAGAAAATAAACAAGGATAGAAAGAGCCAAATATAAGGTATCTTTAGGTTTGTCTCCCAAAGAGTATTTATTGCTGGTTTTTTTCCTTCAAGTATCTTATTTTTATATGTGTACTTAAAAAATTGAAAGCATATTTCATAAGAAATATGTATCTTGTTTTTTCTTTTAACATTATATATTGAGCACTTTCCTTAAATGAAAGTTCTACAAATATGTGATTTTTAATGACTGGGTGCCCTTTTACCATTTCTAATCATATGTTCACTTTTTCTTACATTTTTTATTATATTGATGGAATTGGATGTGGATTTTGAATGAACAAGCCTTTGAGGAAAAGGATGATCTGAAACACAATGTCTTTTATTTGTATCTCTTTTGGGGGGAGTAACAATTTTGAGACATGGCCTGTGATGGATAGTGA